CAATGCTATTGAATGATAGTCTTCAATGCTATTGATAGTCTTCAATGCTATTGATGGTCTTCAATGATACTGAAGACTCACTATGATACTCTTGTGATATCAATGATATGATGACATCAATAGAGATATCCTCAAGGTAAATCTCACTTCTCACCACCAATGATCACAATGAGAAGACTCATTGTGATTCAATGATGTGACATGTAAATTGGGCATCTTCCCTGTTAGTATTTATAAAGTGGAATCCTTGGGTGAATGGTTGCTAGAACCTATGCAGGATTCTCTAGACTGGAGCACCTCATTTAGAGTTGAATGATTTGGGGACAAGAAATACCATGTCTTTCTAACTGGCTGGAGAAATGTCTGGTCTTCAAATTGCTGAGTGCAGGGAGAATTACTGTTTGTGCTTCAGGGCTTTTCAGAGTCCACAAAGGAATCAGAGGCTGTACATTTACCCTTTGAGTGTAAACTTTTGGCTGACAGTCATTCCCCAGCATAGATATGACAAGCAGATGGCATCCTGGCTAATGAGATTCCGAGGTTGCTGATTTTTGTTCAACTATGGTAAGAAGAAAGATGTTTCAGACAGAAGAGAGATTAGATAAACCAGGAGTTTTGGACTTGTCTTGCCAACCCCACTGCAAAGCTGTTCCAAGAATGGAGATGAATGGGTGGTGTAGCCAATAAATTATGAGACTTTCAATCCCTTCGTGACATCACCTCATCTTCAAATGGATGTACCAGATTATCTTAGTCTTAGGCCATTTAACATGATTCATCTCTCTGTCCAAATTTTTCTCTCTCACCAAGCTTGCACTTCTTTTTTCTCTTCCACACAAGTCTGTCTATAACGTGTAGAGATGCGAAGTGACTTTGATGTCCCTGGTAGGATTCCCACCCTATATCTGGCCGTGACTTTCTTGACAAAACAGCTCTCCCACTTAGACAGAACATGCTGACCCTAAGACTCAGACCCCCAGGCCCTAGGGAAGTTGCAGGCTTGTGTTTATTAGGTGCATTTCCTGCCATCCTGATTCCCAGTCCCACTCAAGTCTCATTTATCTTTCTTCAAATTTGCCTCCTAGGGCTTAATCATACTTATATTTGGAAGAGTAAATCTCTGATCCTTCAAAAGAGAGGGGCTCATTCATTTGGCACTGTTTAGTCAAGGTTTTCGTAACTTATTTTAAAGCAGAACTGTTTTATATCCATGAAATTCTCATGTTCCACCACCCTTCTTCAACCTAACCAGACCAAGAGCATCTTAAGGATTAAGGTTCCCTCTAAGAAAACTCTACTTTCAGTTACAAAATACATTTTTACAATACAAGAGGTTTTATGTCCTAACCCACATACATTTTATATATGTATATGTGTTGTGTATGTGTATAGCCCCTAGTTATAGAGGTTTTGCGAAACATGCTCCATCATCCTCTTGCCCCACCCCCATCACCAGCTGGCACCAGTCTCTGCCTCCCCAATCCCATCACTGCCAAGACAATATTCCTGTGAGAATTTCAGATGAATATCTTTGATTCTACAGAGGGTCATTTCTGCAAAGAACCAATTGGCAGTGTCAGGCGGGAGGGAATGCATCCCAAACACTAGTGCTGGAGCACCCAAATTATTCTTGGCAATACCAAGTGTGGGGTTTGCTTGAGTTTAACAGAACTACAGGGCCACCAGGGCTCTGGGATTATCAGGAATCAAACCTGGGGCCTCCAAATGCCAGTCATGTGCTCCAGTCCTCTGAACTATCTACCAGATCCTACTGAAGGGCTTGGAGTTTGACGGTTGTTTTCAAGCAGATGAGAAGACGGGACATGAAAAAGTCTGAAGAAGGACCATGTTATTTAATAACTAAGAATCCACAATGACATTGGTGAGATGGAAATGGTACTTTGTGTATACACATGTATGTGTGTCTGCGCACACATGTACATGAATGAAAAAGCATAAGCCTGAGCATGTCCATCGTATCCCACATACTCAGTGTCACTACAAACTTAGGCATCTCTTCCCAACTCTGTAGCTCCCATCACAGACTGAAAGCACTTACCACTCAGACTTACGATTCTAGAACTAACATCATGTGGTCTGATGGGCATTGCTTGGTGTAGAACAATATTATTCTTCCCTTTTATCCACCTTCTCTCTAAGTTTCCTAATGAATTCCCCAACATCTACAATATCTTGGGAGGTTGGGGGGGGCAGAAACACAGATATCATTTAAAATCGTCTTTATAGCTATTAAATTTGAAGACTGGGGTAATCTCAAGACACTACCACTTTTCTGTTAGCATCCTCTGTGCATAGGCATGGTTCTTAGGCCCCTGAAAGTACACTGAACTCTTCCTTCCCCTGACTGCAAGTTGTACAATAATCACAGCTATTATCCATCAGTAGCTGCATGGGTAATCATTACCATAGTCACAATCCATGCTTCTACTGTTCAGAGAAGCATAACCGGGAAGGTGAAAATTTTAAGACAAATAAAGGTAGTAATAATGGATAAACATATCAAATCAAAAGAATGAATGATTCAGTTAACTGGAGTTTGATTGATTAATCAAACAATATGTTGACAATGAATGCTTTTTTACTTATTAATATACTTCATATAGATCATTTGACTTCTTAAAATGTAGTACGTGTCATTAAGGTACAGCTATGTAACAGGGTAAAAAGGTGTACCGAAATAGAAATGAGAGCATTCTTGTCTCCCGGAAGGGAGCATAACACGACACATAACACATACCAACACATGCCACCAGACCCTGTGCCAGACTGTTTCCACTCGGGACACCCCAGAAGGGGGCGGGTAAGACCCCTCCCCACCCCAAGTGACCCGGCCCTGGCAGCCAAAAACCTCCAGAACTCAACCGCTGCCACCCACGAGTGAACCTATTCCTGGACTTCCTGGACATGTCATACTTCACAACATCCGTACTCCAAGAGTACTGCACCACATTTGATGGGGTTTAAAGTAGGAGGCAATCAATCTTAGAGGGAAATATTCATTTTACATATATATATATGCACACACATACACATATGTATATATATATATTAAGCACACAAGGCTCAACCTTTAACATGTTAGTGATCACTTATAGAAGGGCTTAATGGCCCCTGGGTGAAATACAGCAATCTTCACATTCTTTCCTCTAAAGAAACTTTTTGGAGCATTTTCACTCAGCGGCTTTTCAGAACAAACAATACAAAATAATCTCGGTTCTGCTTTGGGGCGGGGGTGGAGGCTCGGGAACATTCCAAATGTGGTAGTGAGGTGTAATGGTGGTGGGATTAGTGTTCGTATATTAAATGTAATCAAATATTGTGAACTACTTTATAAAATAAAAAAATAATAGAAATGAGAGAGAGAGCAGAACAATCCTTGAATGTTGAACTTTTCCTGTTCATGCTACCTTCAAACTTGAAATTTTCTACCATAAAACTTTCTGAAGCTAAGATCATGATACACACTGATTTTAACGTTAGGAAAATAAGCAGAGACTCGCAAAAACTTAAGAGCTGTTCCAATTATGAAACCAAAAATATTACATTAAGATTTCTCTTTTGTGTGCAAATTTTAACAACCAAACCTGCTAAAAGCACTACCTAAGAGAAATTTATTTAGAACTGGGATTAATCAACTGATACAAAGGAAAATTAATAATTGATTTAAATTTGATTGAAAGCATCAAAATTTTTAAAAGCGCATCCCCTGTTCCCCAGCAAAAAAATAGCTTTTTTTGATTATGCAAAAAAGGGCTCTTATTAACTAGTTTATTCATTTTAAAGATGAACTCATGATTTAGAAGCAAAACATGATTAACATTAGCAAATTGTCAAAAAAACTGAATAAACCTTATTTGTAATTTCTTTAATAGAAAAAAATTATATAAATTTGTGTGAATGTATAGGTTTGACAGGTGTGTTTATAGGGTTGTATACTTCTATACGTAGCGTAAGTTTGTGTATTTATTTATGTTTGAATATCATATGAACTGAATGAACTGAACCTCTCTGTGTTGTAAGACCATTGGGTAAATCCGAAGAATGATATATGCAGCCTCAGTTATTAGCCTGCAAATGGTTACAGAGATAAAATGATACTTTTACAACAGAAGGTCTGGTTGCTATTATCTTGCTGAATGAATCAAATTTAATATCAAAAGTGTCGCTAATTATTGGGCTTTACCTATTAATGTATAATGGGAAGAATATGGCATCATCAAAATGTTTAATTTAAGCTTAAAAGTAAGAAGATGATATAAAAAACAAAACTAGGTTATTAGTCATGATATCAAACCACGTATCTTTACTCTTCAAAAAACCTCAATGACATAGAAGACAAAAAGAAGGTAAAAGAACTCTTTTACTACACGGAAAAAAAAAACCATTAATATCCTAACAAATGAAAAATGCACTATGTAGTCTTTATCTAATGTCTGGATCAAATCAAAATAGGTACAAAGGACACTATTGAGAGAATTGAGCAAATTTAAGTATGAACTGTCTATATTAGTAGCATTGTGAATTTGGGGTATGAAAAGGGATCCAGTATATTCGGACATGGTATTGCTCCTGGGAGACAAATATTGAAATATTTGTATGCAATTTGTTTTCAAATTGGAGGGGGGAACAGGACACTGGGTAGCAGATATGACTAGTGTACAGAGGTTGATTGAGCTACTTTTCTCCTTTTCCATGGATTTGAAACTTTAGAAAAATAAAGTTAGTGACATGAAACTAGATAAATTATTCTACAGATTCTTTATTTCATATGCCTATCTCAGAAATATCAAAATACAGGCTTGACATACATGCAATTCCTGTTTTTCAGATTTAAAACATGAAATATTGAATAAATGTTACAAATTATAGCAATTTACAACCAAATCTTTTAAAGACTTAAAGATCGAGTGAAATTTTTAGTCAAATATCAAATAAGAACAAAGACATCTGTTTAGGACTTTGAATATGCAAAATAGATCCCCCCAATTCTTGTTTTACAGTCTAAGAAAATATCTGTTATTGAAAATAGAGAATTCTAAGAAAATCAGTTGATGAGTTGTTTACAACTCATGAACTGTTGATGATTTTCTTTACAAGTACAATTTGGTCTTCAGCAATCTGTAGGCCATTGAAATGGTAACCCCATAGCCAACAAAAAATGCCAAAGCTCGATTTGGCTGAGGAAGGGGCAGTAAATACGCGATGGTGTGATAAATGCGGGCTCCGACAAAGAGTCTGAAGTGCAGGAGGGCTGTCGAGAGATCCGGACCACTCAGAGAATACAGGAGGCCAATGCCAAGAAATGGCACGATATTTTCAATGTCATTCAGGTGGGCTCTGTGGAAAAAGAAAACCAAAAGCTTCAAAACCAGGAGAAAAATATTCACGCTTGTTCCCCTTTCACCTAAAACCAAATATAAGTTTTAGTGGATTCTTAAAAGGGTAAAGGCTGATTTCATTTTTCTCAAAGTGCCTTTGCTCCCTTCCTCTCTTATTATTTACTCTCATTATTTCATTCTGGGCAAATAATAGACAAGGCATGTTATATTTTGAAGAACATAAAAATTTATATAAATCCATTTTTTGTAGGTACAAAACACTTTTTATTCTAAGGCTCATGTCAGATTGATTCAAGATTCTTCTTATCAAGAAAGCATTCTTTCCGAAGAAAATAATATCCTTTTTTAAGTCATGATCTTTCTTAAGCCTCTCCTACACTACTGGTATCTGAGAAACGGTTACTGAGACAATCCGTGTGCAATTACCCACATCACTAGGTTGTCAAAAATTAATTTTCCAATTTAATACCAGGAATCTCATGTTTTTAATAGTCAAATAAAAGAATAAAGAACTGACCTTTCAAATATGAGTAAAAGTGCTACAAATATATCCTCAACTGTGAAATACGTTAGTTGAGAGTAAGGATATAAAATTTAAATTTATACAAAAAACACAGATAATGAAGAGGAAGATGTATTTCCTAAATTTTCTCTTTACACCACAGCTAAAAGCAAACAAGAAATCCAGTTTCTTCTAATTCATGACCTCTAGGCGTCTCTGGCTAGAATTACATGCATTACATAGAATCACCTCATTTTCCTTTCTACATCTAGCATATATTTACTGACTTGATTAGTTTTGAAAAGACTTAATTTTAAAAGACAGTTTCACTCTAAGTCTTCAGAATCAAATTCCTGCTCTAAAATCTAGAGTAGAAACTGATATCCTGATGGCATACTTCAGCTGATACATATTTCAAAATTTAAAAAAAAAAACAGGCTGTAATGAGTCTTCTCTTCTGGCAAAGAGATAATTATTGTATATGGCCATTCAATTATCAGTTACCTTTCCCTTCTTTCCTTTCTCTTGTCATGCTTAGAATATTTCTAAAGTAGTGGCTGGAGCAATAGCACAGTGCATTAGAGCGTTTACATTGCACACGGCCAACCCGGGTTCAATTCCTAGCATCCCATATGGTCCCCTGAGTACCGCCAGGAGTAATTCCTGAGTACATGAGCCAGGAGTAATCCCTGTGCATCGCCAGCTGTAACCCAAAAAGAAAAAAAAAGTTTCTAAAGTAATCTTAACAGTAACAATCTGATGGCCTGAAGAAGGTGGCATAAGCCAGTTCAGTCGTGGGCTGCAAGGCCTAATAAAAAACTCTACTTTTAAATAAAGCCAAAGGCAGAAAGATAGGAGTGTGCCTGTCTCCTTCTTTTCACATTACAGCATTCTGAGACTCAGATGGACAAGAAAAAACAGTAATTCTTGCCACTGCCAAAGAAGGTATCCTATAGTCTGTTACAACAAGAAAATTTTTTCTCTTCTTCTGAATTCTACTGGACCATAGGATATTAGTTCCCCACCCCCCCCCACCCCCCATAGAACAGGGTCCATGTAGAGGCCTTTTATTTATTTATTATTTATTTATTTTGCTTTTGGGGTCACACCTGGCGAGGCTCAGGAGTTACTCAGGAATCACCCCTGGCAGTGTTCGGGGAACCATATGGGATGTCAGGGATCGAACCCGGGTCGGCCGCATGCAAGGCAAATGCTCTACCCACTGTACTATTGCTCTGGCCCCTCTAGAGGCCTTTTAAACTTAGGTAAGAAACTATAAAAGGAAGACAGACCCTGTGGAAAATAATGTCCACCAGTACAACTATGTGAAGTGAAGTCACTACAAAACAGTATAAAGGGAAAGCCAAGGTCACAGAGAGGAAAGTGTTTCACTGTGACCTTAATACCCTTCCTTCTGTGTGTTACTGGCCTTCCACTGTCTTCCCCTTCCCAATTCTCTTTCTGCTGGACTCATACACTCTTCCTTGTCCCAGTAATGATCTAGTGATCTTCCACAGCTCTTTGTACTCCAGGCTAAAATAGCACATTTTCATGTTGTTCACCCCAGCCCTGGGCAGACCCTTCTCCAGCTTCCCAGGGAGCAGCTGCAGTGGTTCATCCTCATCTTTCAACTCTCACCCTTTCTCAGCTCAAGTGGCAGAGTTCATCCTAGAGTGATAGCATCCTTTATTTCAGGGCCACTTCGAAACGGCCACCAAATGGTGAGCAGGTAGGTATGTCTATAGGAGGCATCACTTTCTGTCGGGACCCTCCTCCCTGCAAGATTCCATGTTCCCACTTTCTCCAGGGCACACCTTGCTTTTTCTATCTATGGGTGGTCTCCTCACCAACCCTAGTCATGTGTTAGAGTCAGACCTTTCTTCCCTTCGGAACACTCTGAATGTCAGCAGAGCTGAACCTGGATCACAATTGCTTCATACCGTTCAGGATTGTCAAGGGCTGGTCAGCAACAAAATGAACTCCTTACCAGATGTCCCTGACTCCCTCATCTCAGTCAGAGTTCTTGACTCTCGACAGCTGAAGGTACTTCCATATTGTAGATACTCTACCAGCAAACAACACCCAATTGCTATCATCGCTCCAATTCTTTCTTTATGAGATATTCCTCAATATCCTTGGAACTTAGACCTCACACACAACTTAACACCTTCTGGGAAGGCTTTTATATTCCTCTCTAATTACCCTGCTTGTTTATTCTCTACAGACATTTTATAAACTCCTTCAGGGCCCAATTTCAGTTCTAAAGCTCTTTTCTGGCACCCCTCGTAAGAAGAAGTAGAATGACACACACAGTAATCCTTCATTCAAGTATGTAATGCAAGTCCAGATACTGAGGCCAGAAAAGAAGTTTGGCTTTCCAGACCTCTCACCCAGTTCTGTCTGTTGACAATATGTCCAAGGAGGAAGCATTACCTCGACTCCACTGAATATTTTCAGTGCGTGGTCTTTCTCTAGCTTGAAAGGTTGTATATTCCAAATGTCTTTCCTTTATGTAAATGCCAAACTTAAGCACTCCTTTTCATCTTTTAAATGGTTCTCTGTATTTCTCTGTTTGCCCTGATTGCCTTATAACATTATCTTGTTGGTTGAGTGTATGCTGGTCTTGAATTCTTTTGAGAGCAAGATGAGATAGGAGTAAATAAGTGCTTATGTAAATGCTTCCTAACCATCAACTAATTTCTGTCTGCTCAAAACTCAACTTAAAGTCACTTATCTTGACATTTCAACACATTTTACTCTGCTTTTAATTAATTGCTCCATGTGTATGTATTAATTTTCTGAATATTGCATACCTGAAAGCATGCTTTCCACTTCATCTCTGGAATATGCTAATTGAACTCAGTCTCTGGAATATGCTAATAATAATGGCCTGACAATTTACATGCTGAAGCAGTAGGGAGAGAAAAGTCTAGGGGAATACAGAAGAGTGAAGATTCTGGAAAATATTTTCTCTGAAAAACAACCCCCCCTCCCCACCCACACACACACTCACCTACAGCAAATCTCCAAGAAGTACAACTGGCAACTAACTAAACACCTTTACTTTTGCAGTGGCTGGGCATGTGTGTGTGGGGGGTGCCTTCCCAGGAGTGAGGGCACTGGACAATTCTGAGAGCAGTCATACTTGACTTTTGTGCGCTATTGGAATGAAAACTTCTCTTCCCCTCAGAAATGCACCTACCACTATCCCAGCATTTGGATAAACATTAGACATTAAATTTGAAAATGGTTTGTAATTTTGATGATACATTAGGAAACAGTTAATGACAATGGATTCTCAATATATAATTTTGATAAATACAGTCAAAATATACTTTTCTTTCCCTGTGGTTTTATTAACAACATTTTCTTTTCTCTACTTATCTTATTGTGAGAATTCAATATATAATACAATGAATATGGAAAATTAGTATCAACCGTTAGTAAGGCTTCCAGTCAACATTAGACTATTAATTGTTATATTTTTAGAGAATCAAAGTGTATATACTGATTTTCAATGCATGGGGAAGGGGAGATATGACCCTAATCCCACACTATTGAAAAGTCAACTGTAGTTCTAACAGGCAAAACCAACTGAAAAGCCCAGGCTGCAACAGATAAAGAAGTTCATCATATGATAACAGAGGGGGTCAATTCTTAAAGTATAGCACTAGTAACATGTATATATGCCATTATGGGAAAACATAAATAAACAAAATATTAATAGGCGTGATGAAGAATCGCAATACAGTCATAGTAGAAACTCTAATTCCCTAATTTAAACAACAGATGAATCTTCAGTAAACACATTTAATATCAACTACATACTCGTCCAGATGGACTTAACATATATCTACATAATATTCCCCTCAAAAATCAAGAGAAAATAAATTCATCTCAACACATACACAATATTCCCCAACACATACACAATATTCCCCGGGGCAAATCACAGATTAGGCCAAAAAATAGTGGTAAGTTAAAGAAATTTGAAATAATCTTGAGCCTCTATTCCAACCACAGTAGCATGAAGCAAGAAATCAATTTCAAGAAGGAAACTAGAAAATTCAGAAATATGTGACAATTAAACATATTACTAAATAATAGGCTGAAGAATAAACCAAGAGAATAAAATATATATGAAGATGAATGAAGATAAAAACACAAAAAAACTTATAGCAGGTAATAAAAGAGTTCTAAGAGAGAAGTTTATAGTGATAAATGCCTGCATTAGGAAAAGAGAAATCTAATTTAAGACCTCAGGAAACAACAACAAAAAAGAGAAAATCAAACTAACTTCCAAGTTAGTAAAAGGGAAGAAATAACAAAGTGAAACTAAGTGAAACAGAGACTTTAAAAGCAACAGAAAGGATCGATGAAACTAAGAGCTGGTTTTTAAAAAGAAAAACAGAGAAACCTTTGGCTAGACTCACCAAGAAAAAAAGAGAGAACTCAAATAAACCATCAAGAGTGGAGTCATTCTAACTAAGAGTAGAGAAAATCAAAGAGTCCTTAGAGATGGTGCTTAAGAAATTATGGTGAACAATTGCAAAGCAATAGGACAAACCAGATGAAATAGATAAGTCTCTAGGGACAGCCAACTTCCCAAGTCCTAATCATGAAGACATAGAAAATCTGAATGAATAAGTTACCAGTAGCACTGTAGCACTGTCCTCCCATTGTTCATCTATTTGCTCGAGCGGGCACCAGTAATATCTCCATTGTGAGACTTGTTCTTACTGTATTTGGCATCTCAAATAAGTCATGGGTAGCTTGCCAGGCTTTGCCATGCGGGCGAGATATTCTCAGTAGCTTTCCAGTAAAGAGAATGAATTCACAAAACCCCACCCCACCCCAAATAATATCCAAGACAAAAGATATCTCATTGGTGAGTTCTACTGAGCATTTAAATGAAGAACTGAAATCAATACTTCCTAAACTCTTCCAAAAACAACAAAAAGAGGAGAAACACTCCCGAGCTTATTTTCAAGGTCGGTATTATTCTGATGTCAAAATAAGACACAAGAAAATTATAGGCCAATATCCTGTATACACTTCCAACAAGCAACATTATCCTAACCAATACAGATGCCAAAATACTTTATAAATTATTAGCAAATCTAATTTAACAATAGTTTAATAAAATAATGAAAAGAATCACATATAATTATAAAATTATGCTTATTCAAGGGGTGCAAGGATGGTTCAATGGCTGCAAATAAATGTGATGTTATTTTTAAAAAGAACAGAAATCACATGATAACCTCAAAATTCACAGAACAAACATTTGACAGCACTTAAAACCCTTTCATGGTGAAAATTCTCAAAAAACTCTAAAGAGAGATTATCCTTCAACATAATCAAGATTAATAGTAGTAGAGAAACAAAGTATCACAGTAACAAAGGCCCATAAATGACAAGCGGAATAATTGTTAACACTAATTCAGCAGTAAAAAATGTCAAGTGCCCTCACTTATGTTCAACACAATACTAGAAGTCCTAGTCAGAGGAATTTATCAAGAAAAAAGAAATAAAATCATTCAAATAAAAATGTGAGTCTGTGCAGGTGACATATTATACAACACTCAAAAGATGCCACAAAAAAGTCGAAACCAAAAATGAATAAATCAAAATCAATTTAGAAACAAATACAAAATCAGTTCTATTTTTGCTTACATAACTATGGGACATGTGAGAATGTGGTAACGCTTGGGCCCTGTGAAGCCAGGGGTTACCATGGGGTGCTAAGGAACTTCTAGAGACACATCTGGGGGGCAGTGCTCAGAGGGACCATTGACCAAAACTGCACTCAGCTCTGTTCCGGGGGACAATGTAATTCCAGGGATCTAGCCAGGTTAGGCCACAGAAATCATGTACCTTAACATCCTGTACCATCTCTCCAGCCTTTCAATTGTGTTTTTATTTATTTTAAATTATTTATTTATTCTGGATTTTGATCCACACTGGTGGTGCTCAGAGCTTAACACCCCTGGCTCTATGCTCAGGGATCACTTCTGGCAGTGCTCAGGGAACCCTATGTGGTGCTAGTGGTACCTACGTTGGCTATGTGCAAAGCAAGCATCCAATCTGCTGTTCTGTCTCTCCGTCCCTTTCAATTATGCTTTTAAATGCAAATAAATAAATTTAAACACAGAGACCAAATGAGCTTTTAAGTATTAACAACAAACTATCTGAAAGAGAAAACAATAAGTCATTTTATTTATAATAGTATCAAAAAGAATGAAATACTTCAGAATAGTTAACCAAGTTGACAAATGAAAGATCCTTATACTGAAAAATATGACACTAGTGGAAGAAATTAAAGAAGACACAAACAAATGGAAAGATATCCTCCTGATTTGGAATAACAAATATATTCTTAAAATATGTATTACTAGACAGCACACAGCCACAGAGAAGAAAGGCCGCGGGGGGGGGGGGGGGGGGGAGGCGGGGGGACGGGGGGGCTCCACAGCTCCCGGAGAATGCTACAGGTCCCAAAGAGAGCCGAGATTACCGGGAAATCCCAGATGGGGTAGGTGCCAAATCCTGCCTCGTCCAGATGGAACCCCGGTGACCATGAGCCTCTACAAGCATAGCTCAGCTATGCAGGAACCAGGACTTTTACTCCAAACCGCGCAGGCCACTGACACGGCTGTGCGACACCTCCTTATATATAAAGCGATCAATGGAAAGTAAATTATCCAACATTTCTCCCTGAAAATCAGGCTTAACTCTTTTGCAAACCACAACACCCAATAGGAAAGAGAGAATAGGGGGAATGCCCTGCCATGGAGGCGAGGGGGATGGGGGGAATGGGGGGTGGAAGGGTTACTGGGATCCGTAGTGGTAGGAAATGGTTACTGGTGGTTACTGGGTATTCAAAATAAATAAATAAATTTAATTTAAAGAAATAAAAAAATGTATACTAACAAACTCAACCCATAGATTGAGTATAATCCCTCCCAAAGTCCCATATTTTTATAGAAATAAAAACAATCATTTTAAAAGCTTTTGAAGCAATAAAATATTTGAATGTTCAGAGGAATTTTGACAAAGAACAAAGCTGGAGTCAACACACATACTATTTCCAAACAATAGTGCAAAGCTATAGTAATCAAGGGAGCATATTATCAGCATCAAAACAGACCCATGGATCAATGCAACACAACACAAAGCCCAGGAGCAAACTTTGGCATAGTCAATTAATGATGACAAAGAAATCAAGTATACAAAATAGGAAAGTATAGCTCCTTCAGTAAATTGTTTTGGGAAAACAGGATTTCTACAGGCAAAAGAATGATACTGGACTGTACCCTCTCTAATACCCCACCTCCAAAACTCAACTCAAAATAAATTAATGATTTAGGTGCAAGACCGTAAAACTCTTAGGAAAGAAAATTAGAGGGTAGACTCATTGGCAATTTTTAAAATTATAATAAGAGCAAATATAATGAAAGCAAAAATAGGTGGGATTACATTAAAAGAAAGGAACAGGGACTGGAGCGATAGCACAGCGGCTAGGGCGTTTGCCTTGCACGCTGCTGACCCGAGTTCGATTCCCAGCATCATATATGGTCCCCTGAGCACTGCCCGGAGTAATTCCTGAGTGCAGAGCCGGAAGTTAACCCTAAGCATCGCCAGGTGTGACCCAAAAAAAGCAAACAAATAAATAAATAAATAAATAAATGAAGGAATAAAGAAATTGTGGTGTATATACACAACAGGATACTATTCAACAATAAGATGAACTATTGCCTTTTGTGATGACATAGAAGGAACTGGAGGGGTGATGTTAAGCGAAATAAAACAGAAAGAGAAAGAAAAAATATTGAATAACATTGCTCACACACAGGATATAAAGGAGGAAAGCAAAGGAATAGGGAACACTAACAGAAACAAATCCTAGGTTCTGGAGAACTGTGGTTATTGGAGGGGCCAGTGAGAGGGAAGCAGAGGAAAGAAGGGGTCCACAAGATTGGGGGGGTCAGGGGGCATACTGGTAGTTCCGGTGATGTGGAGTAACATTCATTTGAAGAGGTATAAGCCTATATGCCTAAAACATGCGCACTGTTCGAAACCAGTATTATCGCCACTAAAATTTTTAAAAATATCAACCTAAGTAAAAAATGCAGAGGTAGGAAGCTGTGCAGATGGTATCCTGATTTATTCCTTTGAATTGTTTATTGAATTGGCCAGCATATACAATATATCGATAAAGAAATTTTTATTGCTTAAGCAAAAACACCAAATTTTTCAACCTTTATACAAGCTAAAAGTCTGCCCTCTGGAGAAAGATGAACCTACAAGAATTCACCATCTTCCTCTGACCTCCTACATGCCATTCCTCTTTAGATATCCTTGCACAGAAACAGGTCATTCGCTGAACAAAAAGGTACCGAAAACAGAAAAATTAGCAGCTCATCCCAGTGAAGTCTTAGTAGAGGTCCCAAGATCCTAGCTAGCATTTCTATAATTATGACCTTCACACGCTTAGGTAACAGATAACTTCCTTCTTCAAGACCCCAATTCATTCATTCATTCATCATCCTGTTATTCGTCGACTGCCTCGAGCAGGCCCCAGTAACGTCTCTTTCATCCTAGCCCTGAGATTATATTCAAGGCTCTTTAGGAGAATGAGACCCATCATTGTTACTGGTATTTGGCATATTTGGTACGCCACGGGGAGTTTGCCAGACTCTGCCCTGTGGACAGGCTACATTCGATAGCCTGCAAGTTTGTCCAAAGTAGGAATGAGATAATAAGATGTCATAAAAAGATGTTCTGATAAGATGTCGCAAATGCGGCCGCGCGGTTCCAGGGGCTGGATTTTATAGTCTCCGGAACCGCGCGGCCGCATTTGCTCAAGACCCCAATAGGCTCACCTAACACCCTGAACCAAATTCTTGAATCAAACAAATAAGTCCAAGATATAGCGGGTTTACCTTCGTACGCGTTCCACCCTGTCATCCGTCCGAATGTACTTCTTGGCATTTTCTCCTTTGCCAAAGCTTGCACAGTCCTCTGGGTTGACAAAAACCTATACCAAATATAATTTTATTTGATTATTTTCATTTGTGTGTTTGGGGCCACACTCAGCAGTGCTCAGGGCTTACTCCCAACTCTGCACTCTGGGATCGCTCCTGCTGGTGCTCAGGGGACCATACGCAGTGCCAGGATTGAACCCGAGTTTGCTGCCTTCGAGGCAAGTGCCCTACTCACTGTACTATCGCTTTGACCCCAAATGTAATTTTGAAATCCCACAAACCTATGTTGAACACCAAATAATATGGAGGGATATTATCTTTAATAAGTTATTTACATGTGAATCGGAGTGATAGTACAGTGGGTAGGATGTTTGCTCTGCACATGGCTGACCCGGGTTCAATTCCCAGCATCCCATATGGTTCCCTAAGTACCACCAGTAGTAAATCTGAGTGCAGAGCCAGGAGTAACCCCTGAACATTGCTGGGTATGACCCCAAAAGCAAAAAATAAAATTAAAAAATCATTCACATGTTAGCAAAAGAAGTATCGATATTCAGGTTGGGTCTTTATGAAGGAAAACTTGGAACAATAGAGCAAACACGAGAGGAGACAGCACCCATAGTTTAAACTTGAGTTTCTGCTAACAGTGCAATCCTCTGTTTAAAATAAATGTCTTATTTAAGAAATACGAAAGGGGGAGAGAGACAGAGAAAGAGACAGAGAGGGAGAGAGAGCAGGAAAAGAAATTGCAATTCAATCTGGAGTGTGGGTGTCTTAGAATGCGCAATGCAACGATTTAGGAGAAACAAAGGAAGAATGAAATAAAGACCTTAAATTCTTAAATAAATGTATAAATATAGTTCTGTTGAACAACAACAACATAAGAGGCAAAAACGGCCAAGAGGGCATCACTCTAAGTCATGATGGACTATGATTCGGGGAACCACTGTTAATACAACTTGAGGGTAGCTAGGGGCAGGCTTGTTAACCTTTGTACTTGATTAGCTCATCTGAGAGCCAAAAATTTATCTGCCAAGGATATGAGAGAGTAGGAAGAAGCTTCAAGAGTGAGGGCAGGAAATGTATTCCAGATTCTGGGCGACTATGCAGCCCTCTTTTACCGACTGAACTGGTAGCTAGCAGAGATTGCAGAATCTGAGTTACCAAATCCATATGCTCATCTAGTGTCTCCTACAATAATGCCGCCTTGATTTAAGCTCAAGATGTAATCATTTTGTTTTAATCTTCCTTGGGTTCCCTTGTCCTTCCCCCTTGGTGTAGAGCTGCTGTCCCCATGATAGGGGGGCGAGGCAGTGTCTCAGATCTTGTCATGCTATTGCCAGACTCAGCCACAGTGCTTGCCAGAGATCACATACTTGAATTGTGGAGCTGGAGTATATTCCAGTTGCAGTGCTCACTGGGGAACTCTACAGTGCTCACACAGTTCTCAGTGGAGGCCACGCCCCTGGCTTCAGGACTGATGCATCTTTATCACAGTGCTTGCTGGGGGAATCACCGCACTGTTTGAGCCGCAGTGCGGGAATACACCTAACTGTGTAGCAGTTATCACATACTCTGTTGTGGTGCAGGGAGATCCCAGACAACAGAGCTTCAAGCAATTTACTTGGTCCATGTGGGTAGCACCAAGGATGGAACCCAGAGCTTATTTGTAAAGCAGGCATTTTCCACCACTGACTATATTTTCCTTCCTATGTTGGGAGCATTTAGTCCTGATAAAGTTGTTGAAAACAGACAGGCAGGCAGGGTGAGATTCAGTATCAGTCCATGAGGTCAGATCTGCCTGGCTTATTCCTGAAATAAACATCTGGCACACAGGATATATTCAATAAATATTTTTTTGTGTAAGTAAATAAATCATCACAATGGAAAGTGCGGGAGACTTGGGTGGAAACCAAAGTGAAGCTGAGTTGTAGTCTCACCCTTTTCGGATGTGAAAAGCTATAGAAACTCTGTAACCTCTCTGACCTCCAATTCCTCATCAGTTCAGTGGACACACCAGTGCTCATTTCACAGAATAAAGCTAGCAAAGTCAAATGATCCTGTGATCTGAAGGAAAGAAAGCACCAGGCCTTGCCTTAACGCTAGTCTGAATTCTCTTCCTTTCTTCACACACACAGGGTCTGTCACTCTACCATGAACACCATGTTGTCTCTTGAAGCCAGTGGAAATGGGAAGGTGAGCACCACGTGGTCACCTGCTTTTCTCACACCTTGTCCCATCTGGGATCGAGACATGGGAGTATTGTGTTTGCATGAAAGGGTAAACATCCCTGTAAGCACTTACACCTCAAGACAGTGATGAGGAAACACCTTAGAGCGCTATGAAATCTAGTCATAAGCAAAGCCCTGAAGAATGAGAATGCAGGACAAGAACTCAGGACAGCCAGAAGGAGAGAGAGACAGAGGCGTTTCTAGGAAGTTGCTGAACAAACACAGGGGCCATCCCCAGGGAAATGGTTTAACATCCGCAAGGTCATTTTTCTGCTATTTCCTCACTGTGTAAACCCTACTTGAATGCTATCGATGTATTCTAAAATCTTTCTACCACTTGATCCAGGGACTTTAGATTTTTTGAATCATCCTTACAGAGCTGGTTAGAAAGTCTGTTCCCTGAAGAATTATAGATAATTCAGATGCTTTGTCTCAATCATGAGACTGATACCAATTTGTCCACCATCTGCAGTAGAACTGAAAAACTAGTTAAGTATCTGGAAAATGACTATTTTCTAAACTCTGGTTGGCAAAACGACCTTCAATATCACAGAAAATTTCCTAGAAAAGGACTTACCATCAATCTCATATGCATGGCAAAAAGGGTCACAAAGTGACCGTGAACAATTTAGGTCAAGTTTAGTTTAGTTACTAGTTTCTGGGGAAAAGTAACTGTCTGGTTACATATCAGATATGTCTACAACAAATGATTGCACGCTTCAGAGACAGAATTATATATGCCACTGAACTTGACCAAAACAGGTAAAGAACACTGCTTTCCAGGATTTCTCTTAATAAACTTTATTGTGGATTAAGTAACACTTAGAAACCTGTTTATGTTAATGGTGCTGATATATCAAATTACTCTACCCACCTACCACCACCGCCACCAAAGCATCCAACACTCTCCGCCAAAGTCCTTATATTACTTCTAGTTCAGAATTTCAACTCTTTAAGAAAAGACTTTAAAAAATTTAAATGTCTTACCTTTCTTGTGATTCTATAGAATGCAGTCGCAGTGCTCATAAACATCATCTTTGAGAGAACAATTGTTGTGTAGGAGGCAAAGGCCATGAATACTTCATTTTCCATTAACTGGCTGACGTCAACCATTTTTGCAGCTTGGGTCTAAAATTTTAGGAAGGTGTGACAAGACAGAGGAAAGCAAACATTATTGTCGATCGCTTTGTGTGCTAATCTGCAGCCTTTAGCAAACTGCTCTTAAAAATACCTTGTGAACAGATGACTGAATAAAGAAACTATGATCTACATATATGCAGTAGAATACAACCCAGTCCTAAGACAAGATAAAATCATGTAATTTGCTGCTACATGGCCAGACTGGAGAATAAGTATCATGCTGAATGAAGTTAGGAAGAAAGAGAGGGACAGATATAGAATACAATACACAATATACAATTTCTTTCATGTGGGATATAAAAGAACCTAGTAAGGAACTGGGTAGAGCAATAACACAGTGGGAAGGGTGTTTGTCTTGCACACGGCCGACCCCGGTTCGATTCCTCCGTCCCTCTCAAAGAGCCCGGCAAGCTACCGAGAGTATCCTGCCTGCAGGGCAGAGCCTGGCAAGCTCCCCGTGGCGTATTCAATATGCCAAAAACAGTAACAAGTCTCACAATAAAGACGTTCCTGGTGCCCGCTCAAGCAACGGGAGGACAGTGCTACAGTCCAGTAAGGAACTAACAAACGTCCCAAAGGAAGCAGGATCTAAGGACTGGGTTATAGTCTTTGGGGTGGAGGGATTAGGGGAGGACAAAGGAAAGCAGGGTGGTTTGGGGGAGCACTCTGTGAACCATGTGACTTTGGAACATTGTATAAACTGAAACCCTATCACAAATAACTTTGTAAACCATAGTGCCTGGAATTAAAAAAATTTAAAAACAAAAATTCAGTATCTTGACTTATTTTCAGAGGAAATCATCATAGAGTCATTTTTAATTTTAACATTAGTTCTAATTACATATTATTTAGCTTTAAGACAGCACACAATAAATGGTAAAAATGAAAAGGCAGGCAGTATTACAAACAAAACTCAGGAGATTAAACATTGTAAGACAAACTAAGATCATATGTTGGCATTAAGTTAGGATTGGAAAAGAGATGGAATCTTTTTTTTTCCCTTTTGGGGTCACACCCGGAGATGCACAGGGGTTACTCCTGGCTCTGCACTCAGGAATTACTCCTGGCGGTGCTCAGGGGACCACATGGGATGCCAGGGATCGAACCCGGGTCAGCTGTGTGCAAGGCAAACGCCCTATGAGCTGTCCTATAGCTCCAGAACTGAACTACTCTCTTTAGAGGTAAGTAGTTAGTGCCACGACCTGAACAAGGAACACCTGCATTCTAATGTAAGCCCACTTCAGTTTGGAGCTGCTTATTTCAGTAATAGCCAAAACGTCTGCCTCCAAGATTTTAACGCCACGTGCATCATTTGACTTCTAACCTTGGTTAAGAGCATTAGCCTCTTTGAGCGTCAATGTTTTCATTGATAAGATGGGAACAGCAGCAGCTCCTAACTTACAAGGCTGCACTCAGAACTGAACTAATGTGACAAAGAATTTCCTTTGCACAGCACCTGGCCTGTGAAAAATCTCTCGTGAAATTTCAGTTTGTCCTCCTCATGCACTGAGGCACTGCCCTCCCGTTGTTCATCGATTTGCTCGAGTGAGCACCAGTAATGTCTCAGAACAAATTGTGAGACTTGTTACTGTTTTTGGAATATTGAATACGTCTAGGGTAGCTTGCCAGGCTTTGCCATGCGGGCGAGATACTCTCAGTTGCTTGCCAGGCTCTCCGAGAGGGGCGGAGGAATTGAACCCAGGTCTGCCATGTTGGCTGCGAGCAAGGCAAACGCCTTACCCACTGTGCTATCGCTCCAGCTCATTAATACCAACACATGGACAGCAAGAAGCAAGGCTTGTTTTATCTAATTCTGCTAATTACTTCACTTCCTGCTACATGGAATGAGGTATGGAGAAGAAAGTATAAATGAGAATAAACTCAGAAAACTTTCAAAGTAGGCAAGAGTTTAGGGGAAAATTAAAATTCAAACTCCCTGCATTTAAAAAAAAAATAATCTCTTATTCCAGTAAGGCTATCTGCTTCTCCCTTTTATACAAAAACAAATCTTTTCTGAGACTCAATTTTCAATGCCATTTAATATGCTTAATTTCTTCTAGATCAGTATTTCCTCAAGCCAACAGAATTTCTCCCCAAACTTCTGGAATTATCCAGGGGGCTGCAGAAGCCTCAGATGCAATTGGGAGAATTTTGCATTTGTTCCCTTCAAGGACAGAGATTTCCAGGGGTGCACCAAGTCATATTTTTCTGAAAAGGGGGTAGTAGGCCAAATAAATTTGGAACCTCTGTCCTAAGTTTTAAACATATCCGTGGATGCAACTTTACTAGACTGACATCTAGAAAATTCTCATCAGGCAATCCATCTACGAATTATCTACCGATCTATCTCTATCTACTCCATTACTGGTCCTAACATTGCCTATGTGTTACTGATAAGTGTAGTATAAATCACAGCATTCATATTTAACTAGTTGAGTTGACAATGCACACAACTCAACCACACGCTATGCATGCATGTCTCACACCATCTTTGAAACTCTAACAGGAGCCTCCTCAGACCTATGTTCATCTCAGAGAAGATCAGACTAAAGAATTAGAGGTAGGAAGCAGAACCCGGAAATCCAAGGCTCTGGGCTCACAAGGCGTGCATGGACCACACCGCGTGTTCCCTTTCAGTATACTGCACGCTGCTTGATTCTTACTCAGCAACCTGGATGGAATGCCTACTCTGGTGCTGCCAAGGCGGGCACTCCTTGTTCTTTCTCTTCTCTCATCCTCCAAGCATGCAATGAGGCAGAAACTAGTGTCCTTGTTTTGCAGTGAAAGAAACCAAGGTTCCTAAGTGACTCCTATTTTAAAGGGCACATAAAGGATCTACTTTTCATAGATATGGTTTAAGAAACGAAACAAACATAACTCATCCACAAGTCTGTTATCCTGAAAGTATACAGTATTGTAACTTCTCAGGGCAAGATTCTGAATAGCTTGTTTTGTATCTATTCTTGTTCTGTGGCGGGGTGGAGGAGGGGGTGAAGGGAAGAGCATGATTAAACTGCATCAGGCTTCACACTCGAGAGAAGTAACCCCCTTCAGAAGGGACATATAACTTTTATGCAACTAGGTAGATATCTGAAGTGGAGATCATAGTGAGGATAAGAAGTTTATCAAGCAGTAAGTGTAATAATAATCCCCAAAGTAAGAGTTTCTGTAGGTCACTCACGGTCTGCCTTAGAATACTTTATTTAGTAATGAAATAGAATGTTTTCAATATCCTGAGAATGTTTCCCTCTCAGTGAAAATGGAGAGAACCAAGAATAACAACAGAAATCTTCCAGAACACACACACACACACACACACACACACACACACACACACACCAGAAAACAAAAAGATGTCAAGGATCAAGAGACCAGGGTAGGAAACAGGAGGTGGTTTCTTTGAACATAACAGAACATAACAACATAAACAGAAGTGTCCTTCATACAAAGAAGAGTTGCTCAATCTTCAGGAATGTGGTGGAACCCCTTAGCATTAAGGCCCAGGAGACTGGCCAGAAAGGTCTTTGTGATTCCCCCTCTGGGTCCCGGGTTCCCGCCTTCCAGGCCTAGCTCACTCCCAGTCTCAGGGGAGGACTGAAGACTACACCCGGGACTGCCAAGTCATGCAGGGACTGAGGGCCCTTGGCCTGGACTTGTTTTCCCAAAGCTGGTTTCACAGTCCATTGCCTGGAGCCTGCATCACGGCTGAGCCCTGTAGCCAAAGTCACACCCCGGAGGCCTGTCAGCAGGAGAGAAAGAAGGAGAGCAGGCGGCAGGCACAGAAAGAGGGGAAACTGTCACAGAAAGAGGGATGGGAATTGTCTAGAAACAGTCCCTGACAAGGAGCAGCAGGACCATGGCTAGAAACTGCAGGAAATCAAGCAGGACACGGATGAGCAGTGTTGGGTCAATGCGGGGCCTTTTCCTGTCCCTCACTGGTGGGGGACCTCCACTTTGCCCAGCACACACCGGAGCTCTGTCCCGTGTTTTTCTTCTTCTTTGCTTTTTTAAAAAAAATTTTAATTTATTTTTATTGAGTCACCGTGAGATACTCAGTTACAAAGTTGATTGTGATTGGGTTTCAGTCATACAATCTTCCAACACCTGTTCCTTTCACCTGTGTACATTTCCCACCACCAAGTCCCCCCCCCTTTTTTTGATATATTGCCATGATTGGGTTTAATACACGTCATATATACAGTGTTCCAATGTGACAGTTTCCCCAGAGTTTCTACTCCCCTCCATCATTATCCCAAGGTCGCATCCTCTTCATATCACACCTCCCACCCTTGGTAAACTAGCTTTGTAAACCAATTCTCAGGTTCTGTTGCCTTTAACCATTGGCATTCTTTTACTATGTTTCTTCATATAACCACATATGAGAGTTGTCATCTGTCATTCTACTGCAAGTCCCCATTTTCACGCTGGCCACCCCCCCCCAACCTGCCTCTATGGCAGATACTTATATTCTCTCTGTCTCTGTCATTATAGTTTGCAATACACGTACTGAAAGGTCATCATGTATATGTCATGTATATCTCTTTACCTCCTTTCAGCACTCAGTTCTTACCCACCATGATCATTTCCACCTATCATTGTCATAATGGTCCCTTCCCTGTCCTATCTGAATGACAACCCCCTGCCCCTCGCATCCAACTTGTGACAAGCTTCCTACATGCTGCGCCTGCTCCTTTGTGAGCACAAGCAGACTCTGGAATCAGAGGGTCCCTGGGCCCACCACTGAGAGTGGCAATTTCACTCTGCGTCTACTCACCTGATGGAAAGGCTACAAACCCCTGTCTCACGGGATTCTCGTGAGCACCCAAAGAAGAAACTGTAATTCTGCTTAGAAGGGCAGCGGGCCTAAACATCACCTAAACATCAGTAAACCTAGCCCCTAGGACTCAGGGTACACTGGGAGTTTTCGAAGAACTTTCTCACCTGATCTCACTCAGAGATCTCACCAGAGTACATCACACTGATCTTCAACATAAAAGGGAATTGAAGTCAGGGAGAAAAGAGAATAATTTGACTTAAATGCAGATCAGAAGTCACAAACTGGGGCTGGAGCTGGTAGGAGTTTGCCTTGAACGCGGCCGACCCAAGTTTGATTCCCGGCATCCCGTATGGTCCCCCGAGTACTGCCAGGAGTAATTCCTGAGTGCATGAGCCAGGAGTAACCCCTGTGCATCATCGGGTGTGACCCAAAAAGAAAAAAAGAAGTCACAAACTTCAGTTTGAGGTTTAGCTAGCATTAAAGCTAAGATTACTAGATCATAGGCTTTTGCTGTGCAAAGCTATTCTAAAGGTGATTTCCCAGCCCCCTCCCCACAAGTCCTTACATTCTCTATCATCTTGAGATTGAGGAATGAATATTCCTCTGCCCTTTACAAGCTTCAGGCCAGAGAGAGCAAAGTTCTCCTCTTTCTTTTATGATTGCTTATCTCTGTCAACATTGCGAAAAACAGAAAATCAGGGTACACATCACTGGGGCCATGACTCTGCAATTTTCTTCTTTCTGGAGCCAACTGAAAGGCCGGGAAAGAAAGAAATCAAGAGTTTCTCACAGTTGAACAATCCGAGAACTTTCTGAAGTGGGTCCTAAAGCCTGAAAATTTGATCTCCGAGACCGGCTCAGACAAAGAAAAGGGCTTCAAGACCAGAGGCTGGGAGAAAAGCCTGGTGGTCCTGGGAGTGAAGGGGTAGACGCTGTTCTCAGGGAGCTGCTTTCTAACTTCAGTGTTTCATAAATCTGGTTCCCTTGAGAAAGAGCACAGGGATTAAAAGCGCTCCTTGCACATGCCAGGGTTGGATTCTCTGCACTCCATATAGTCCCTGGAGCCCCACCAGGGGTGATCCCTAACACAGAGCCAGGAGTAAGTCAGTCCTGAGCACCCTAAGGAGGGTGTGGCTCCCAAACCCAACCGTAAGTGCTGCTTGAAAGTGAACCCTTTGAAATTCCATCTTTGTCTGCCTGAGAGCAATGTTCAGATCTGAATTCATGTCATTTAAAAAAAAATGACCAACTATGATCAACACACACACAGCCCTCCTAATTGGGAGAAGCTGAAGACGGGGAACCTCAAATTGCCCTCAACTCTCTCTCCAGTTGCAGAGCGTTGGGTGCTTGTAAACTCAGAGTGGGGGTGCAGAGAACGCTAGACCAGACTAGACTGGCTTCTATACTGTGTGCGTGTGTTGGGGAGGAGGGGGTGCCGGGAGAAGAGGGATCCCCACGGCCAAACTACAGGGGGAAAAGGAGAAAAACTGACTATCTAAGGACTCTGCACCAATTCAAGAGCCGGAAGTGGAGGAATTGCTGGTCGACTGTCCTGCTACCCACAGCAACAGTCTCTGAGGTCTTAACCCCTAGGTGTTTCCCTTCTCCCCTTCTCCTTACACACAGTTTCCCCTCCAAAAGGAAGTTTCCCGTTGGCTTTCCAGACATACTAACATCACAGAATCGAAACCATGCTCTCCTGCATCTGGTTGATGTTGTTGTTGTTTTTAATCACTGCTGTTAAGATATCCTCCTCCTCATTCTTACTTCCAATTTGCTGACCTCTCTCCCGCCTCCCTAAACCATGCCCGAGGCGCCAGTCCTAGGTCTGCAAGGGGTGCAAAAGCCAACTCCTTCCAGAAACCCGACCCGGGAGAGATCAGAAGTTGCTATCAACTCCGGCGCTTTCCTACCTGTCCCCCCCACCCCCCACCCCAGACGCTCAAAAAAAAAAAAAAAAGCCTCTTTCCAAGTGAAAGCTTCGGAGACTAGGAGCTCGCAACTCGTCCCGGAGCCACTAACTGATTCTTGACCTTTACCTTCCCGGAGTGGGACCTTCCCGGAGTGGGACCTTTACCTTCCCGGAGTGGGACGCGCTCCCCCGCAAAGGGACCGGGACGTGAGTCCCGAGCCAACTCTAACAAGTCCCTGGAGCACAGGCGGCGCACGCGGGCAGGGGTCTCCCGGGCTCTGCACGACCCGGTCCCTGCACCCCGTCGCCCCCAGCCAGCACTCACCGCGCGCGCGTCGGCGTCCGAGCGGGTGTCACCGGGCGGGTCTTTGCGCTCACTGCAGGGACCGTCTGGGTTCAGCCGGGTGCAAGCGGGCGCCGCGCCCCTGCCGGTGAATTTCCTGTCAATTTCCTCCCCGGCCCGCCAAGCCCCGCCCCTACCCCGCCGGCCCCCCCCCCCCCCGCCCCCTGGCTGCCCCTGCGGGCTCCGCCCCCGCCCCGCTTGCAAGTGGGGGGAGGGGACGTTAGCCGCAGGCTCAGGGTCCCCTAACGAGTTAAGAGTGGGCGGCGGGAAAGGGGAGGAGATTGGCGTCTAGGTAGCTGCAAAAAAAAAAAAAAAAAAAAAAAACCTTAAGCAACTTCTTGCTGCATTTTGAAAGCGTTCAAAGTTTTATAGGACTTGTAAATCTCTCGGGGGATGGAAGAAAGTGTTGTTTCTTCATTCAGCTTGCCCCCAAAGCCTCCTTAAAAGGTGGGTTTGGGCCCCCAGGCTCAAGATGAGTACAGATCCGCTGGGTCTGTGACCCCCAGACTCCTACGTGTAGGCGTAGTCTGGAGTTAGTGCTGGCAAAGCGCCTGTATTCTGACGTCCGTGTTGCCACTAGGGATAACCCCAAATTTCCTGTTCCCCACAACAACAGAGATCTAGCTGCCCTGACTGTCTCAAAAACGTCCCAATAAGTATCTCAGTTATGTTACCTTTCCCGTGATACTATTTCTTACACAATTATCACCTACTACTACTTTTATTTATTTAATCTCTTTGGCTTTATGGGATGTCCTTGGACTAGTCTGGGATTTGCTAAACAAGTTCATTTTCCAATCCCCCCCCCAAATAAGAATGATTGGTTTGTTCTAGGGAACAAAAAATGACCTTAGTCCTGAAAGTAATTTCTGTGTAAACACATTGTATGAGGCCCTCACATGAGGCCTCCTGGGTTCAAGCACCACAGTCACCTCCCCTCCCCCCCCCCCCAGCATCACCAGGAGTGATCCATGAGCACAGAACCAGGAGGAGTCAGCCCTGAGTAGCACTGCCTGAGCCCTCTTCCCATCCCCACCCCGCAAAATAAATAAATGAATTAATAAGCATATTGTAGGGGACTGGAAAATCTGACATCAAAAGTATTCATGCCTTATTGACATATCTGTATATTTTATTTATTTATTTATTACTTTTTGGGTCACACTCGGCAATGCACAAGGGTTACTCCTGGCCCTGCACTCAGGAATTACCCCTGACAGTGCTCAGGGGACAATGTGGGATGCTGGGAATCGAACCCACATTGGCCCCTTGCAAGGCAAACGCCCTACCTGCTGTGCTACTGCTCCAGCCCCCCATATCTGTATGTTTTAAAATCTAGATTTATTCTCCCATCTACTCTGGAAGCAGTTTGTAGCAGAAGCTGCATTAGGACAGAGTTTGAGAAAAGTCAATTCTGAGGGTTCACCAAGGGAATCTCTTGTGTGGTGACGCAGCTCTCATCTTACAGACATTATGGGGAAAAGGTAGACGGAGCAAATTATTTAAATAAATTGATCTATAAAATTCTGATTGAGTCATTCTTAGTTTTGAAAGATACTTGATTCATCTGATACTGTAATTACAAAATTCATTCAAACTATTAACTAATCAGTAAATACTGAGTTCCTGCTATCAAAGACCCATGAACAACTCTTGCTTGTCCGATAAATATGTGTCCTGTCCTGGACACAACTACCAGCACTTGATTATAATAACGCTTGATAGGATTATGATAGACATTTCATGTGAATACAAGGCTTGAAGATAAAATCAGAAACTAAGATAAATAATACTCAATACTTATGTTCAAGGAATTTACAGTTCCACAAACAGAAAGGTCCCCCAAAATCATAAGTTGTATTAAACTTGTGAAAGAAAATATTTCAGTTTGGAAATTGGAATAATTGCCTATGAACCAGAAGAGTCAAAGGAAAGGGTGTGAAGAATTGACACTTTTTGCTTAGCTTTGTTACAGGCTCTCAAAAGAGGAAGGATAGAGAAAGAAGAATTATTCTGATCGCTTTAGTATAGGTGAAGGGAAGAGATTAGACCTCCAACCTTTCTCAGACCACTTTAAGCCTCTAATGAACTCTCACAGAAACTCAATTCAAGGTTCAGGATAAGTAAGTCCCTAGTAAATATTATGTTAACTGGAACAGTTTAAAAGGTCATTGGAAGAGCAAAGGTCACTCAGCAAAAAACTTAGCCACCACAGCAAAGCAAAGGGAGATCAAATAAAAGTGGTCAGGAAGAATAAAGCATTAGGACTCTCATTTAAAGTGACTAAGAGAAACAAGGGAAAGAATTGCTAACTCCCCCCGTCCAGGCTTCCTATAAAGTGGGAAGAATTCAGATAATGCCTTCATTCCTTTGGATGATCTCAAATCTTTGATTTTCCGTGAATGTACAGATTAGACACATAACTGTGTCTATCCTTTTTGGAAATTTCACTAAACATGTATGAGAACACGTCTTAAGATTTAGGACTGCCCTCCCTTTGTTAACATTTAAGATTTAGGACTGTCCTCCCATTGTTCATCAATTTGCTCGTGTGGGCACCAGAAACATCTCCATTGTGAGACTTGTTACTGTTTTTGGCATATCGAATATGCCATGGGGACATTATATTCTTGGTAGCTTGCCGGGCTCTCCGAGAGGAAGGGAGGAATCAAACCCGGGTCGACCGCGTTTAAGGCAAATGCTCTACCCGCTGTGCTATTGCTCCAGTCCGAGATTCAGGACTACAAAAAATGAAATAAAATTAACATTTTTCTTTGGAGTGGGGTTTCAGCACATCTGGCAGTGCTCAGGGCCTGTTACTGACCCTGCGCTGGGGGGTGGGGGGGGGATCACTGCTGGCGTTGCCTGGGGAACCATATGCAGTTTGCCTGGGATCAAAACCCCCAGCCGTCACATGCAAAGCAAGTACTTTACCCATTGTACTATCTCTCTTGGCACCTAAAATTAAGTCCCTCTATTGAAAAATATTAGTTTTGAATTACAATGTGCTAATTTGTTTATTTCTCACAGGACCCTATAATGGAGTTCTAACTTTCGCTACTTGGTAGATAGAGGCTCTAGGATTCAGAGACGTTTGAAAGATGTTATAATAACCATTGAAATAAACTTTCAATGTGTTAGTTGTGTGAGATCAAGCATAGCCACAGTGAGAAGAACAGACCTTGAAATTTGATAACATTTATGAGTCTGATTAAGTCTATGATAATGGAAAGACACACAGAATAGCGCAGAAGAGAGTTCAGATATAGACTCATACTAATTGGCTGATATTTTTTCCAACAAATAAGCCAATAATAATAATTTTTTTTAAAGTTCTCAACAAATAGACCCGGGACAACTTAATAACCATATGGAGATAAAACAACAAACAAACAAACAAACACTGTCCTCCCGTTGTTCATCGATTTGCTCAAGCAGGCCCAGTAACGTCTCCATTTTGAGACTTTGTTGTTACTGTGTTTGGCTTATTGAATACGTCATAGGTAGCTTGCCAGACTTTGCCGTGCAGGCGAGATACTCTCGGTTGCTTGTCGGGCTCTCCGAGAGGGGCGGAAGATTCAAACCCGGCTAGGCCGGACTGGCTGCGCACAAGCCCTACTGCTGTGCTATCGCTCCAGCCCGAAGATAAAACATATGCAAAAATTAATTCAGGGGGCTGGAGTGATAGTACAGCAGGTAGGGCGTTTGCCTTGCACGAGGTCAACCCGAGTTCTATTCCCAGCATCCCATATGGTCCTTTGAGCATTGCTAGGAGTAATTCCTGAATGTAAAGCCAGAAGTAAACCCCTGTACATTGCTGGTGTGACACAAAAAGCAAAATAAAAAAAAATTTAAGTTGGAGTATGGGTATAAATCTTTATATCCTCAGGGCAACCACCAACTGCTCAGACTACACACAAAACATAAGGGGAAAATGGACATTTTATGACAATGAATGCCTTTTTGCTCATCACACTTGCTTATTTGGAAAATAAATAGATAAGTCACAAATTTGGGGACAGTCTTCTCAAGATACTTATCTAATAAAGCTTCTGCATATAAAACAGAGAAAGAATACCTGTAACAATAATTCACTTAATCACTTAACTTCCCGTTAGTCGTCGATTTGCTCGAGCGGGCGCCAGTAACGTCTCCATTTGTCCCTGTCACGTGCTAGTGTAGCCCAATGGCATCTGTTCGCTCCGGGAACATGAAGGGCCTCAAACCGATCGTTCATGATCTTGACGAAGAAGTTTGACCATCTGGTAGGTGGGCGGCCACGTGGTCTTTTGACATCCCGTGGAATCCAGTCGGTAACAGCTCTAGTCCAGCGGCCGTCTTTAAATCTCATTACGTGACCAGCCCATCTGATTTTCGACACCTTGGCAAATGAGACCGCGTCCCTGATTCTTGATCGTCGATGGATGTCAGAACTCGGGATTCTTTCTCTCATTTGAGTGAAATGTGATATTCCAAGCATAGCTCTTTCTATTCTTCTTTGGGAGACCTGAATAGCGTTCTCATCCTGTTTGTGTAGGGCCCAGGTCTCTGAGGCATGTTAATGCAGGAAGAACAGTGGAATCAAAGAGATGTGCCCGGAGCCGGAGGTTCTTCGTCCTCTTAGCTATTTCTTCGACGTTCTTGAAGGCGTTCCAAGCCACTCTCTTCCTCCTGCGCAGTCATGTTGACTTCTCGACCTAGGTACACATAGCTGTTGCATTCGGAGATGGTCGTTCCATTGAGAGCGAATGGGGCGTCAGGAACGCGGCTGTTTCTCATAAACATTGTCTTCGTAAGACATATTTTATATATTTTACCTTAATTATTGTTATTGTTACAATGTAACAATAATTAAGGTAAAATATATAATTATAACAGTAAAATGTGAGAGATTTGGATAGGAAGTTCCAGGAAGATATATTCAAGGATAGAAAGCAAATACAGAGGTATTCAATGTCACTAATCTCCAAAAGCATGTAAATCAAAATTATAATGAGTTACTTCTCTTCCAACATTAGAAGAGCAAGAGTGAAAAATATACACAAAATCAAATATTGTTGAAGGTGTGAGGAAATAAGATGGAACACCCACAT